TTTGCAGGTAAAAGATCAAGAACAAAAACTGTCACGACGGATGAAAATGTGGCAATTATTTTAAATTATTTTAACAATCACCATGAAGCTTCTATAAGAGAGGCTTCAAGAGACTTAACTTTAAATTATAGTGTGATACAAAGAGTTTTAAAAAGCAACAAATACCATGACTATAAATTTCATAATTTGCAAGAACTTTCGCTTAGAGATTTTGAGAGGAGGAAGGATTTTATTTGTCAGTTTTTGGTGTCTTTGGATGACAATCCTAATTTATTTTCTCATATACTATGGACAGACGAAAGTCATTTTGTTAGTCATGGATTACCAAACAAAAAAAATACCCATTATTGGTCAGACGAAAACCCGCGCAAAATCAGACAACATCAAATACAGGGCCACTTTGGCATAAACGTCTGGTGCGGAATAGTCGGGCGGCACTTAGTAGGGCCATACTTTTATGAAGGCGCCTTGACGGGCCCAAGATACTTAGATTTTCTCCAAAATCACCTTCCTCTTTTGCTGGAACATGTGCCACTTCAAATCAGAAGAAACTTATGGTTTCAACTAGATGGAGCTCCTTGCCACAATGCGGTCATTGTTCAAAATTATTTGAATGAAGTCTACCACGGAAGATGGTTGGGGACACACGGGCCCTTGAAATTTCCGCCTAGATCTCCGGACTTGACACCCTTAGATTTCTTTTTATGGGGAATTTTAAAAAATATAGTGTATAAAACAAAATCTAATAATTTAGATATTTTAAAACAAAAAATTATTGATGCGTGCAATGGAATATCTGGTGATGTTTTAAGAAAAGTTACATCTTTCGAAATAAGAAAGCGGTACAATTTATGTGTGGATAACGATGGCGCATATATCGAGCAATTGTTAAAATAAGATTGTGAATTAGCAATTAATTTTTACTAAATACAGTTCATGTTATTCTTTAATGTTTTATGTATGTTTTATGGGTTGTTAGTGTAAACTTTGATTATTTCCTAAACAATTACATAAGTGTTATTAAATGTAGGAACATCTTGTAAATTGTTTTCTTTAACCCTAACCCTCCTAACACGGGTACCTGGGTACCCGAACGGACTTTGAAGTCAAATATTTTTCAAATAAAAAAAGTTACATATTTGAGGTTCCATGACATCTTAAAAACAGTTGTTTTCTATCGTTTTTCGCATTTTTAGCTTTCTAGAATTGTTTGAGCCGGTTGTGGAGCCGCCCAAAGTCGAGTAGTCCTTACCCTCCTGATAAGGGTACCCGGGTACCCGTAAACTTTTTAATACATTTTGTATGAAGAATGTGAAATAAAGAGACATTTTTGGTTTGTTTTTGTTTTTTTTTATGCTTTTTTTATGTTTTATTGATTATTAAGAATTACAAGTTATTTTACAACAAATTTTAAAGTATTATAAGGATAAAAAAGAGAAAAAAAAAACAATAAATCAGCAGCTAATGCATCGTGGTGCTATGCATTTAGTGTGCGTGTTGCACATTGGTCGCTTACAGGCATCACATTTCTTGCGTGTCTTTCTGTCGGATTTGGGATTAGTTGCCACGCAAAGGTAGCAACGACCCTTCAATGGTAACCGACCAGTTTTATCTCGCTCAGTTCTGCCCGATGGGCCCGCAGCATCCTGACAAGCTGGCTCAGAGATTTTTTTGTTGAGCATAAGCTCAAGAGCTGCCCGGACATTGGTGAATCTGGTTATTCTATTATGAGCGGTCCTTTCGTTCATGTTTTCCGTTGCCAATTCCACGCCAAGTGATGTCAAAAAGCCACGACGAGAGCTTCGTCTTTTTTTGACGCTTGGATGGAGGCTGGAATAAACACAAAATGCACCCAACGCAGCCACGTCGATCATGTTAAAAAAAATTGCCAAAGGCCATCTATTTGTTTTACGTTTGGTGCTATATTTGGACAGCATCTGATCCATTAGATCAACTCCGCCTTTGGTCTTGTTGTAGAAGTCATTTATCTCCTCTTTCCCATTAACTGCTTGCTCCCCTCGTGAATAATGCATCGTTGACAGCAAGAAAACGCTTTTCTTTTTCTTGGTCACGACAGATAAAAGAGTTCCATTTTTGTTGAATGCATATCGGGGTGTACCTATATCGTCAGTGGGATTAGGCCGTAGCTCTCTTGGAATAAAAGCTTTATTTTGTCTAAGGGTACCGACGAGGCTCATTCCTCTTATTCGTAACTGATTAGCCAACGTGAGTGAAGTGAAGAAATTGTCTGTCGTAACATTTAGACCAGATTGTTTGTAAAAATCAACCAGAGCTAAAACAATAGTTTCCCCAACTTTTACCTGTCGCTGACCACCAGGTGGTTTGCCTGTGTAAATTATTCCAAACAGAGGATAGCCATCGGATGTGTTACACAACCAAAATATTTTAATGCCATATTTTGCCGGCTTTGATGGAATGTATTGGGTAAAACTGGTTCGTCCTCTAAATGGGAATAACTGCTCATCCACTGTAACGTTTTTATCCGGATAATAATTTGTTTGTAGATTCTTCATCAGCATATTCCAAATATCGGAGATAGGAGCGGCTTTGTCTGTTTCTTTGCGTGCTGATCTCGTAAACGCGTTATCAAAGCGAATTACGCGTAGTATTTGCTGAAATCTATCGCGACTTAACGATGCTTTGTACAATGGATGACTGTGATTGCCCCAAAGCGTTGAAGGAGGATCATCGCTAGCCCCATTTATACCCATAACCAGCAAAACTCCAATAAAAGCATTAAGTTCTTCCATTGTAATTAGACGAAACTCGCGAGGTTTTACCTTTTGAATTGCAATATCGGCTGCATTATTCCGGTTGAAATCCAATGCTACTTCATTGCCTTTCTTGTTGCTGTGTCTGATGATCTCATTTTTTATGTTATCTGTCATAAATTCATCGAAAATTTCCTTAGCTGTCATCACTCTAGTAAATTTGCGATGCGGTCCACCTAAACAATGAACAATAAAATTACTGCTACTACACTTATATTTCTACCCACCTTTGTTGCGCAAAACATTTTGTGATGGAGTTTGAACACTTCGTAGTTCTTGGGAATACCATTCAGTCTGGTCAGTTGCTACATATTTCTCAGTAATTACAGGAACTTCGCCACGCAATTCAAATTCGTTGTCTTCTTCTTCCTCTTCAGCCTCAACGACACCTTCCATTTCTATATCCGAGGCTTCATCTTCATCAGGAACCCATTCGTCATCACTGCCACACTCATATTCGATTGGCTCGGTTGTTTCGTCGTCTTCTACTTCCGTTTCACACAAGATATCAATATCTTCGGCGGTCAAACTAATCCAAAGTCGCAAAAAAGAAATTAAATAATAGTCAATAAACTAATCAACTTAACTTACGCGGATATATTTAGATAACCACTTCTCCATGGTAAATGGTCTATATTCCTTAATGATGATACATTTCTGGTTTTTGGAGATTGCGTAGGGTGAGATGGCCCAGCAGCACATGGTGTAGCACTAGATGATGGCCCCGCACCAGAAGATATACCTTCAGACACTTCCATTTCCATAACAGATGCATTACGTTTGCGCGACATCGAAAAAACTTAATAAAAACAAAATAAACCAAGCAACACAAACTGTGAATCCGAAGAGAGAAACAAAACGACGCGCTCACACACAATATTGAAGCAACTGTACAAGCCAAAGCCCAAACACATACTGACAATGCGAAGAGAAACGAAACGACGCGTGCGCACAGAATCAAAAATTCACAGTTTCCATACAAAATACACACGGGTACCCGGGTACCCTTATCAGGAGTCTACGTATGTAAAAGTTATCAGGACGGTTAGGGTTAAATCCTAAATTATATTTGTTGTCAATATCAGCATAAAAGTTAGCCTGCCTGATTTAGTGAAATTTAAAAACCCAGCATTTTTTGTATGGCAATCGACAAATTTAAAACATAAAAACTGGTCTGTAATGCTTGAATGGTTTTAGATGAAAAAAAATGGTATTTGAAAAAAGTGTTTCTATTGAATAGATCTTTCAATTTCTGAAATAAAAATGGTATGCTTCTGACAAAAAAAAAATTGAAGCGTCGCGACGCCCAGCGTCGCTTATTTATAACTTCCTTATCCATCCCAATTTTAAGCATTAGCCGGCCCAAATAAAATACTTTTCACAAAACTCAATTTACTGCAGCCGTTTACGAGAAAAACTCATTTCCCATGATAAAAGAATCACCCTGTACTTGTTTTTTGCTGGCCAGCGCAATTATCTAAGAAAAAAACGAATTCAAGATCATCGTCAGGTCTACTTGTGCATGTTTGCTCTATATAGCTCAGCAAGCAGGATCCAATCTCATTTACCCCTCGATTGCCAGATGTCTCATCCCAGACATAGCAGAAACATTCGTTTAATTTAGACTTGTAGAAAAGGGACATATTTCCCTTAGGACATAGCAGAACAGCCTGTAAATCAAATATAGCAACTATGTAGTTGTTGCTAATTCTTATTTGATCGTTGTTTTTTTCCAAACGTGACAAATCCTTTTCCATGATGTGATTTTCATATTCAGTCATTAGTGCCTCTTTTTGAGTGTCTGAGGCACAACGCACATTGGTCCTTTTTAGGGGTAAAAAAAGAAATATTAAAGTTGTTGCGAAAAACATGATAATAAATAAGATATTTTCCATAAGGGATATTCTTTTGATTACATTCCTCAACATAATCAGCTAGCGATTTACCACCTTCTATGTATTCACGACTGGATCGACTTCTCGTGTAATGGCTTTCGATCCGAGGAATGCTATTTATGTGGCTTTGATGTCTTCCTCTACGATCATTTTTTAATATTCCAACTTCCGAGCGGTTTTCCACAACTGTACGAATTGGTCTGTCAGTGATAGCCAATGTAGATTTAAAAAATGTTTTGCAGACTCGAATTCTAGTTTCATTTAACGTGAAATAAAATCCATTATTATCGCGCCGCTTAACTTCATGGATATGTTACTGATATCTGGGTTTCATTGCAACCAAACAGGAGGATATAAAGTCGCGCTGTTTATTAGGATCACCAAAGCCCCAGTATTCTTGAAAAATCTGTTTTCTTGTTTCATTTGGTATATTTAAGTAGCATTTAAGCCTACATGTATCGTTGCAAGGGGCTCCCATAGTTCTTTCATTCATTGGTTTATTAGTTGTAGACTTTTGTATGCTTTTCCTTGATCTTTTAACTTTTTCGCCAAATTTTTCTTCCGTTGATTTATCAGCTTTACGTTTTCTTGATTTTTTATCCTTATTTATTTCCGTGGCATCTTCTTTGTCTTGAATTAATGTATCGTTAGGAAGGGATGATGAGAGAACTTGCGGTTCGGATGATGAGGGAACTTGCGATTCAGATGGTGTTGATGATTCAGCGTCACTTTTTGATGGACTATAATTGGAGTCACCAGTTGTAACATCTTCTAAAATTGTTGATGAAGAGCTACTACCTGAACTATCATCATTGGTATGGTGGTTCAAATTAGAGGATGATGGATTTACGTCGGCTAAAAAAATAAATAAGCAATAATATTTTATAAAAAGTAAGTTTATTAGATTTTTTTAAAACTCAAAACCATGATATTTTCTGTAAAAAAGACAAAGATACTAACTTTTATCATTGATTTCGCTCGTTATTGGATCATTGCTTCTAGTGTTAAAAGAACAGCTCGGTATTGGATCGATGAGTTCATGGTTCAGCAAACTATCATGGTCATTCCCTCTATTACCAGAACAGCTTGCTGTTGACCCGCTACATTCTCCTCCAAGTTCAACTATTCTCCAGGTATCGCCTCCTGTATTTTTATCTAATGCCATGTATAGCATTAACTTGCCACGCTCCCCCATCTTTGTTTCTAGAATCGAATTTTCTAATTATAATAATTATAACGAGGTTTTTAAGATATTCGACAAAAAATAATTTGCCATTTTTCACAAATTATCCTGTATTTCAGAAACTAACAGAAATTTGACAACACTGTAACCAGAGCTTGAAAAAGAATGAAAAAAGGCAGCTTTTTCTAATATAAACGACTTTGTAACTTTTACCAATCCAAAAATAGCAAGAGTGGTCCATTAAATAGAATATAAACTTTAATTACAAATCCCTAGCAGGCTTTTAGTTTAATTCGGAATAGTAAAAATAATTAATAGGTGTTATACGTGAAATAAAGTATTATTTTTGAAATAAAAAAAAATCGGAAATTTGACACAATTTATTAAAAACACAACTGTGTTTATAAAGAAAAACGACAAAACACAAATTAATTCACGGTAACCATAAAATTATAACCAAAAACTATAAGTATTTTTATGGAAATTAGACACATATTATCAATATGAAGTTCTTACCTCAAATTACAGCACGCAAATATCACCTTTTCTTGTTCTCAGACGACACAGTCGTTTTTATGACGTACTTCCACAAAATCACTTTAACACTCTTGTAGTTCTTTTCGACACTCTTCCGTTTTATGACTATCTTCCATAAAATTAGGACTAAAACAACAGTCTCCTTCGCGAATTAAATTAAAACTGACGTTCTTCCACATAATGGATCAACTGATTTCCGATAAGAGCAATACGACACTAGCGCATTCTATCGGTAACAATGTGAGATACAAGTTGTGACGGTCTTACACATAAAAGTAGGTTATATTATTAGTTGTTTTTACGTGTTATCTAAAAAATGCAATTTTTTGAGTTATGACCTTCTTCTATAATGGGAGCGATATCATGTGTCTCTTGTAGCAGCTGCTCTTTTTCAGTATATTGTTCTTCTGCGCCGGATCTAAAAAAGCATGTAATTACTTGTATCAAAAAAGTACACTTAAAAGTATGTAGGTAATAACTATTTACAGTAGATTAAAAAATAATAGAAACTGATGTAATATAAACTTACTTTCTAAAATTTATATTGTCCCTCTTTTTAAATAATTGGACTAGATAGTTTACGTGATTTTCTATAGCCCTTAAGAAATAACTTTTTTGAGTATGCTTATTATTTTAGATTAAATAATAAGCCATCTACTGGTATCCTCAAATGGATTTAATCCAACCACCTCCCGTAATAAATAAATATCCTCAACAGAGAATCGCTGCCTCTTCCTCGATTTATCCATTTCTACATAAATGTAAAATTCGTACAAACAAAAAAAATCTATTTAGTGGTCAAAAGTCAAAAAATGTTCTGTCATTTGTAGAATTTAGCGTAGCCCGATATCCAGAAGCTCCGATAAGTAGTACGAGAGCATGCGCATATTGTTTACGGGCCTGTTAACGTTTATGTGAATATAGAGAGTGTTGTGCTAAAACTTCCTATTATCTACTCACTCAAAACAAACGACTCAAACTAGCAAAAGCAAATATGGTCTAACATCCTTATTAAGCAATGGCAATAAAGACATCTTTGACTTATTGGTTAATTTTTTACGTTCAATTAAATTAGACCTATAACTCCAAATTTTATTATTTTATTACCTTTTTCTTCATCTACTACGCATCTGTGGCAAATAAAATCCATCCAATGCCAACAACCACACACAAAAAAACAAATATGGCCGTGCCGTTTCCCGTCACCCGTCGTATTCATCGAAGCGTTCGACAGTGTTGCCGCAAGACAAAGATGGGATGTACTGAATACAAGATTGAAAATGTACTAATAATGTACATTGGACAAAAAAATCTTTTCCTTACTTAATAACATGTAAGAGCAAAATAAAGTCATCCACTAGCATAGACATAGTCCACTGGTTTTTATTATATGAGTAAGAGGAGAAAAAAAAAATGGTACGTTCGTGTACTTTTTAAACATTTGACGTGACTGATATGTTATAAAAAATATGCACACGCACCACTTTGAAACCCATATTGTATATATAAATAAAAAAATACTTGTGGCACTCGGGGACTGCCGCGGTAAAGCTATTGCATAGCATTTTTTATCAACTTATGCAATTATAATTATTTATTTATTTTATTTATGCTTTGATATTATACCAAGTTTTTTCTTTGATATTAATTCAAGTTACACTTTTTGAGCGTGGTGACCAATAAGAAAACATTTTTTTTTCTTTTATTGAATAAATGAGAAGTTAATATTGTTTAAAATATTTTTATTATCTTACAATACATGTAAGTTATTTAGGAATTTTTATCATTGAAACTATAGGTTTATGGTAACTGAAATAAGAAACATAGGTTTGAGACTTGATATCCTCTAAATATCTGGAAAATACCGCGTCAATGATGGTCCCATATTTTGTTGTGGATTCTTGTGGATCATTATTCATTTTCAAATTCAATTTTTCCGAAATTGTGTCTAAAAGACATAGAATCAGTTAGCAGCTAGTCTAGTCGCACGCACACAAACACCGTGCCGAAGTCTGCCGAACTGAAACGACGTTAGACGATGCACGGCTTTCAATGCCGCACCGCTGTGCCGGTCGAAGTGGGGGGTGTTAGGTTTATTTTCGTTACGAAATTTCTGTTTCGATTTTTTGATTTTTCAATTTTTCGATTTTTCCATTTTTCGGTTTTTTGATTTTTCGATTTTTCGATTTTTTGATTTTTCGATTTTTTGATTTTTTGATTTTTTGATTTTTTGATTTTTCGATTTTCTTTTATTGAATAAATGAGAAGTTAATATTGTTTAACGCCGCACCGCTGTGCCGGTCGGAGTGGGGGGTGTTAGGTTTTTTTCGTTACGGTCGTTACGGAATTTATTGATTCGGTCGCCGCACTCAAAGCCTGCGATAAAAGCTATGCAATTTTAAAATTTTAAAAAATAAATTTGTAATAGTAGTTTTTTTTTGTATTTCTTTATATATCTAGTTTACCATGCTGCATGTTACCCATTCGACAAAATTACAAAGCGTATGAAAAAAATAGATTCATAATTATGAAAGGATTACCCATGATACTATGAAAAGAAGTTATGATATTACGCAGATTGATATTCTCGTCACGGTGACGTAATATGGTGGAAGGCGTGGCTTTTACGAATTTCACGAATCAGCTGATCGAAAAGAGCGCGTGAAAATAAATTTTAATCTGCTCATAGCCAATAAGATAACCATATTCTACACCACAATACGTCATGCGCGAACTCGACGAGATTTCATCGGCTAAGTATCACACCTCTGAAATGTTTTGTACCATGAGGATTAACTACTAGATTTTCTTAAAATTACCTAACTTCGAAATAATTACTGCCCATACCTACCTGTGTTAGAAAATTAAGGATTTACAAATTTTTGATTAATATAAAAAAATAATTATAGATTAATTATTAAATATATTCGCTGATTATAGAAACAAAGATAATTTTAGAAAAACTTTTAGGTTTCAAAAATCTATAATATATAATTTATGATTAATATATAAAAATAATGATAGACTAATTATAAAATATATTCTACGCGTATGAAATCAAAGATAGTATTAATATAATATTTTAGTTTATATAGTAACAAAAATCCCAGAGCCGTACTTAAAATGATAATTAATGATAATTAATTGAAATTAATAAAAATGGAAAAATACAGAAAATAAAAAAAATACAAACAAAAATAATTAACCACTTGTAAATAACTGGGCAACTGGGCGACTTCGATTCAGGATGGTCAATGGCATACCTGTAAATAAGAAACGCTTCTGAGCATACTCATTCTATAAACCATGACTTACTTAAAGTTAAGCAAAGATAATAAACAATTAATCTTAAGAAGAAACAATTGACATAACAAACTGCTTTAAATTGTGAATACTAAGTAATTGGATTGAAATAAATAATTTTGATGTGCTTAGGCGTAAATATCAATTTGATTGTTAAAATAAAATGCTTTCTCGATTGTTAGACTGTTCCAGTAACGACAACGTACTACAATGAATGTGCAATGGGCATTAAACACGAAACACCCATCCAAAGTGCCTGAACAAACGTATCGAGTTGTGCAATGAGTAATACAGTACTCACTCAATACCGTAGCAAACATGCTACACAAAACAATAAACAATAATAACCTCTGATCTAGATCACTTGACAATAACACTCTTTACTGAGGAGTGCAATGGACACCAAAACGCGAGGGTCCCCTCCAGACACAGAGCCTTGTTAAATACCATAAAGAGACGTGCCATGGTCCCAGACCTGCTCAAGGTATCAACAAGAATAAATAAAACAATTGCCAAGACAACACAGGCAAAACAGTCAACAAGCGGTAATTAACATATCTCTTACAATAGATAATTTAAATATTAATAATAATAAATTGGTAAAAGTAAACAAGCAAAAATGAATATACTCTGTGAGAAAACTCACCCTCTTCTCGTAGATTAACACAACCACAGCACTCGCAATAAAAGTTATCTCAATATCGAATATTTTAACCAACTATTCTTAATAGGACCCAAAACTCGAATGAATTCAAATTTCACTTCAGCGTAACCCTCAGGCCTTAGTTTGTCTTAGTGAAATATTACAAGAATTTACGGTCCAAGCAAAACAGATCGATAACCTTTTTTTTCTACCTGACTGAAGTGTGAAATTATTTTGCAGTTATTCGTAAAACAAGCTAACACAACTATTAGAATTATTGAAAAATATACAGGGTCTTAAATTTAATACTGGAATATGATGAGAATATTATTAAATTGGTTACGATTAAAAACTTTTAATTTCGAACATAAAACTTATTTTTATTTAAAAACATTAAACAAATACAAATACATATGAATTATATTGTTTATTTTGGGCAGGTGTTGTGAATGCCATGGCGGTTACCGATATATTAAAAAATGTCTATGCAGCGCATGGGATTCTGTGGTCTCTAACAAATTCACTTCAC